ATGGCACTTGCAACACCCAGAACTCCACTTGTTTGACCACGGATCCCGCTTTAACCGGCAGGATAATCTTTCCCAAAGGCCACTCCCGTTGTGAGTTAAAACCAACCAGTGGCGAAGTTGCCGGGGTTTAATTCAATATTAAGTTCAAAATGTTCATGAATTCATAATTTCCCAAGATGAAGCCCAAATTCATGAGGAATAACACAAATTAAACTTAAAATAATTAATTTCTAATTTATTTTCCATAATCATCCACATACATGTAACCCATTTCATGTTTTGAACCCAATTCCAAATTAACTTCCATAATCTCATACTTAAGTTAATTTTTCTTCATCTTCTTGCTATTGATTCCAATTTCACCTTTAATTTCAAGCATAATGTAAGGATTCTATATAATTTAAACATAAATTCCATACCTTAAGGCCATGTTTGTTTGGGTGGACATGAGCTTGGGATTGGACTAATAGTCCAATAAAATTATTAATCCGATATTTGGTTAAACAATTGAAGTACGGATTAATTATTTTAAACTTGACTATTAGTTAAGATAGGATACATAATCTAACGGATTCGTAGTTCTAGGACTATTAGTCATGGGAATGCTAATCCAGTCCGTCCAAACAAACATGGCCTAAGTTTGCTAGCTCTTCTTCTTCCTCAAAAACTAAAGCTCCTCTTCCAATTTTTTTCTTCTCCTTCTTTGTTTCTTATTCCAGCAACATTCTCTCTCTCTCTGGGTTTGACTTCAATTCACCCCAAGGATACTCCAGCACAAAAGAAATAACACACACACACACACACCTACACACCACATGCACACGCGCACAATGTTTAAGGCTCCCAACACAACACTTAACATGCAAACACATACACCACCAGATTTCTCAGTACACCCACTTGGGTTTCTCAGCACACCCTCACTTCATATACACCCATAATTTTAGATCCTCCCATAATTTAATTTATGGTTAAGATTGATTTAATTAAATAATACTTATTCTTAATAAGTCTTGATTAACATATAATTAAATTAACCATAACTAATCATAAATCTCTCATAATTTAATCAATCTAATTTGACTTCTTTTAGAGTCCAATTAATTATATTTAAATTTATCATTCTGAATCAGATTTTTAATCAAACTCTCAAAAGGCTCCAAATAATGAATCAAACTATCATCAATTTTGATTTCCCAAATCATCTAGGCCTTGGACTCCAAATTTCCGTCAATTAATTTACATATTCCAATTGGACACCCCATAAATAAATTTAATTCGTAATAATTACAATTGTCAATCTTCATAATTTAATTAACTTGATTAACTCCAATTAGGATCTAATTAATCGAATACCAATTTTACTAAATTGAAACGAATATTTTATTAAACTCCCAAATGGGTCCGTTATTAAGATTAAATTAATTCAACTTCTTAACTTCACTTCCTTAAGCTATTTGGACTCTTAATTTCTAATTCCAAAATAAATCTTTAATAGAATCATATACAAGTCAGATCCCACAATTCCCATAAATCCCAAATTAAATTGTAATACTCGGCAATTAAATTTCAAATCTTCTTAATTAATCAAGTACTAATCATTATACGTGATGGGGTTGTTACAGTGGCAGAATTCCTCTGCCTAAAAAAAAAGTCTGATTTCATCTTCTTCTTTTTTTTTTTTTTTTTTTTTTTTTTTTTGTTTTAATATATTTAAAAAGAAAGAAAAAAGATTGAAGGTATATTTAGTTTTTGTTGTGAACCTTAAAAAAAAAAAAAAAGTTTTTGTTAACATTAAATATAAAAAATAAAAATGGGGATTAAAGTGGGTTGGGGAAAATCCATACCCATTAAAAAATGGGGAGGGTGGTACCCATGGGGAATGAGGAATGGGGAATGGGGAAAATTTATTATAGGGGAATGGGGATGGGGAATTAATATCCACCCCATTGCCCCCATTGCCATTCCTAACTCTAATCCCATGCCTTTGAAGAATCATGCTCATGATTATGGAATTCAAGATTAACCAAGAAAAATATAGGTTAAGAGAAAGATTAGTTCTTGTAATAAGAAGGTTGTTACATGCATGGCTTTAAGTGAAAGGAATGAGTGAATTAACTCTTAAATTCACCTTGCATGGCATGAATTCTTCATATCCTTGTTGTTGCTTGTAGTTAGACATAACTTCATGCATGAGCCTCATGAACTCAAATGATTTCTTCATGAGTTTGTTTTGTAATTCAATCGAAATGTAATCTTTGCAAATTGAAACTTTGGGAGTTGATTTCAAGTGTCAATCTCTAGTTTGATCTCCCTTTACTGTTGAAGGTCCAAATTCAAGGTTGTTAAAACAAATCTATGGGTTGAAACATGTGAAATTGAGACCAAAAGGTGGTGAAATTGAAGACCTAAAACATGGCAGATTTTCGGACCCAAACAAACCCAGCACTGCACGTGCGGCTTGGGGCCCCGCACATGCGGAAAAAGGGCAGAATTGGAGGAGCATTTTGTTTAAATTGCAGCAGGTACGAAGGTGGCCCTGTATGTGTTGCAAAGACCCCCACACGTGCGGCTATTAGGGTAGTCCGAGTTTTGTTTTTCACCCATCTTTTTCACATTATGGGCCTCAATTTGCATGGTTTTGACGCGTTTTCATGATCATTTGCATCTCTTGAGTGCATTAGATTGATTAAATAAATGAAAGTTAGAATCGAACGAGTGAGCTACGAATAGAAATTAATCGAATGAACAACGAACCGAATAAAAATAGAAATGATTAAATCTAGCATGGATGTAATTGAGTTGTTATGCTTGAATTGTTTGTCTAGGTCGGACACTACATTCTTAGTGCATTTTAGCACGTGTTCCAAGGAGTCCACTGTGAGTAACAATGTTGCAAAACTATGTTCAATTATAATTATTTTCTGAATGATTAATTATACTGCTTTCTGAAATGATATTATTTATTAAATGAATGTTTGTTCTATTTTATGAACTGTACTCGTGGCATCCATAGCAACCGATTGTTACTGTTACTGCTATTGTTATTGCTACTATTACTATTACTGTTACTGTTATTATTACTGCTACTGTTACAGAGATCTTTGTCAGTTCCAATTTTTGGAACTACTGTTTACTGTTTGATGGCCATCAATTGATTGTTCAGTTTTTTAAGACTTACTGTACTATTCTGTTATTGGATGTACCACGTATGACTACTATGATTCCTATATGACAGATATGATATGGAATATGAAGTTTTGATCAAATAAATGCTTTATTGATGCGATTGACTATTTTAAATACTGAAAGGACATTCATTCTTCACTCCTTTACACATGTGCTATTCACTGGGCTTTAACTCACTGTTTATATATATGTATGTAGGTGATTAAGTACCCGAGCAGAGTTAGCAGCGTCGACCCGATTACTTTTTGTCAAGCCAACCTATTATGCCTAACTGCGCGAGGCTCTAAACCGTTATTGTCAAGGCTTTTGGGGGATCTAATTCCACCATTTTGAATGTTATATGATGTCAAAGTAAATGTTTTATACTTTGTTTTGGGCTTGGGATTTAATTTCCTACCATGTTCTTTGTTTTGGACTTAAGCTTTTATGTGTATATTGGATATGGACTTGGACTTATGAATACTTGGATATAGATGTATATCTATAGAAGTTGTTTGTTCATTCAAGCACCTACAGCTCTTTGGACATTATGTTTTAATATGTACAGGATTCCGCCGGCCCTTTTTATCGTTTAATTATTATTACTATTAAGCAGGCCTTTGGTAATCACGAATTACTGGCCGATTACGATGCTAAACCCTTAAAGGCTTGTTTGGGTTATGACAGGTTTATTATATTAATTTACATGAGAAATAAAAAATAGTGAACCATTATTTTTTTTTTTAATTTTATTTATTTAGATGGTAGAGCATCCCAGTAATACCCTTATATTAGGTTTTTAGCCAAAATAAGGAGTTTTGTTGTCAAAAAACACCCCCATCAAGTCCCTTATCCAACCTCCCAAATAAAAGTGTTGCTACAGTGATTCCCTATTTGTAGAGTGTCACTGTAGCTCCTTCATATTGATAAATTCTTATTTTATTGTAGCAGAAGGCACGAAGGGAACTGGAGGGCGCCAAAGCTCAGCCAATGACTCTCTTAAGAATCTCTTTCACTGGTGTAGGTCGCTCTTTCTCGCCATCATCATCAACAAAAGCAATTTCTGGTATGTATTTTGTTTGTGTTGTTCCCAATCAAACCGTACTTCTTTTATTCTATTTCTCTCTGTGTAGTGTGTATCTCTCTCTTTGCTTCTTTACCAAATAGAGACCAAAAACTTGCAAATATATATGTGATGCTTTGGTTTTGGTGACGGTAATTTGAAATTTATATAAGAATCTATTTTAACTTACTGGTTTATGGACTTTGTGGTAAAATAGGAATAGATATTTTATATATATGAGGGCTTTGAGAATTTGATTGCAATCAATTTTACTTCCTAAAAATTGAAGAAATCAATAGTTTAAAGAAATTTATATGAGAATCTGTGACTTTTCTGGTTTATGGATTTTGTGGTTGAATAGGAATAGATATTTTATATAAGAGTTGTTCATGAAGGTAATGCCCAGTTAATGACTTTTCAGTTTTGGTGGATTATTATGAAATTTTGTTGATAGGCTTGTAGTAAGTAGAATTATTGCATATGCTGCACATAGAATTATTAAAAATAGTAAGCTCTTGTTTGAATTCTATTTGTGTTTTGTATTCAATATGTAAGGATGGATTCACAAGGAGGCAAATACTTCACTAATCTTTTGCACAAGGACTCCAACTTTGATGATTTAAGTACCTGATGAAACAACTCAATTCTCACCTCAAATGGAATCCACTACTAAAAGATCACATGGTGGAAACTTCACTATAGATGAAGTCAATCTCATTCTATCGACATGGTTTAATACTAGCTTGGATGCAATGTATAGGAATGAGCAAAAACATAAGACATATTGGTCAAGAGTATATGCGTACTTCCACAAACACAAGACCTTCAATCATGAATGTAATGTGAACTCTCTAATGCATCGGTGGTCAACCATTCAGCTTGGCACAAATAAGTTCTGTGGATGTTTTGCCCAAATTGAATCAAGGCATCAAAGTGGTATAAATGAGCAAGACAAGGTAATTTTTAATTTTTTTAAAAAAATTATACATTTTGCAATTATTACTCTTTTATAATTGTTGACTTTTATATTTTAATTTTAGATCTCTCAAGCAAAACTATTATACCAAGAATTGCATAATAGTTCATTTCAGTTTAATCATTGTTGGAATTTGTTGAGGTTCCAAGCAAAATGGGTAGAGGATTGTCAAAAGAAACTAACAAAAAGCTAACATTGACCACCATCCCTCCCTATACTCCAAATACAGTTAATCGAGGAGATGATTATGGATCACATGATGCCTTTGTAGACTTGGAGAGACCAATAGGTAGGAAAGCTGAAAAAGAGCGGATAAAGAAACGAAAGAGTGGAAATTGTATGACTTCGCCTCTTACTGGGATACTAACTGAGATAAAGGAAGATAATAAAAAGAATAGTGAGAAGAAAATAGAAATCCTGGAGAAAGCATAAGTTTAGGAGGAACAAAGACTTTTTCAAGAGGAAAAAAGACTTCTTCATGAGAAAGAAAGACTTGCTATCAAAAATGAAATGTTCAAAGCGAAACAACTTAAAGAGGAGGAGAGAATTATGTTGATGAATACTAGTGGTTTGTCTCTGACGCAACAACAATATTACCATCGTCGCCATTTGGAAATCCTTGAAAAAGGAAAGTAACTGCAGGTTATGGAAGTTAATATTTTTTTATGGGCTATGATATAGAAATTAATGTATTTTGACTCAATTCTACAGGAATTTTGTAATGGACCATGATGTTGGAATGGACCATGTTGTTTATGAGATCATGCTTATGAGATAAGTTAGAGATATGTATACTTGGAATTTTGTAATGGACCATGTTGTTTATGAGATCAAAACTAAGGTTAAACAGATGACATTTCATGCCCAAAACAACAGAAGAACAACAAGCAGAACAATAACAACACAGCAGGTGAACACAACAGCTAAAGAAAGGGCCAGATGTCTAGGGTGACAATTGGTCGGACATCTAGGTGGACGACCGGCTAGACATCTGGCCAGATGAGAACAAAGATTGTTGTAATACCCCTGTTCTGTAGTATGCTAATTGGTCCTTAATACGAGTATGATGATGTGTTTAATATGATTTTATGTGCCATTTTGTGAATATACGTGATTTCGAAGTTCTATCTGTTCACTGTAAGAATATCTGTTTGAATAATTTGCTTTGGAAATTAAATTGGAGGCCTTATCGGCCACAGAACCCGAAATCGATTACGCCATTGTGATTGGCATAATTTTTAGAACCTACGGTGAAATTTAATTGGAAATTGATTCGGATCAAAATAATTAGATTCAAAACGATTAATTAGTGCCCCATTACCTTATTATTATTATAATGCCAAGAGTGGGTTTTGTTGGGTAAAGGCACTACACCCTCTATTCTCCCTTCTTGCTTCATTTGACTGATTTGGGACTCAAATTAGAAGAGAGTCGGCTGTAGAGAGGGAGAGAGGAGAGAATTGTGCAAATTGTAGCTTAAAGCTTGGAAACCTTGAAGATAATCCAAGAATTGTTATAGATTGTGAGAATCAAAGCTTCTAGGTGAGTAATTCTTGGATTATAGTTTGTAATTTTGTGTGTTCAAGCTAATTGGGTGATCAAGAGTAAGATTGAAATGAAATTGGGTTGGTTTTGTTGAATTAAAGCTTGACATATGCATGCATGTAAGAAATTGTGTTGAAATAGCATGTATAAGCTTGAAATACATGATTCAAGTAGAGTTTTGGTTGAAACTCATGTTTTGATCACCATTTGTGTTGTCTAAGTTGAGAATGTGGCTAATTCATCACATGCATGTACAATTTATGAAGATATGAGCTTGAATGTATGAATTTGTTATGTTAGAATGAGTTTGATGGGAGATTGGGGCAACAGTAGTTTCAAACAACCTAAAATCGGGTAAGCAACCTGTCCTAGCTTGGAATGGTCACTATGGATTCCGAATATGCACTAGGTCGAATGGTCAAAAAGGGT